GTGCCTCAGTTCCAGTCAAACCCTCAAACCCTGGCTGCCACAAATTATTTCTAGCACGGCACTGAGGAGCACTGCACTGGTACCCGTGTACCCACCCTGCAGGACTGTGAAAGGTGGGGGTGGCTCTGCACTTGAGGCTCTCCTCTAGATGCTGATGGGGCCAGGCTCCTACTCCAGCCATCAGGAGAGGAGCACCGGGGTGGCTTCTCCAGAGAGCTGAGGAGGAATGCCTAGCCAACTGCAAGGGTCTCTGAGTAGATAGAGGGCCAGGGTCCCAAAGAACAGAAACAGAGATCTTGTTTATTTCCCAGGGAGGAGGTAGAACTGAGGCATGGGGAATCTCTGCTCCAGAGATCTTACTTCCAGAAGAGAACATTCCAGAAAAGCAGCCAGCAGGGATACAGACCCAAGGCCAGTATTGGGAAGAGGAGGGCGCCATAGGTGTAGTGCTCCAGCACGCCCTGGGCCAGTGCTGTCAGGAAGAGTTGCCAGCCCTCTGCCAGAGACAGCGGTACCTCCTGCAGTTCTCGCCACAGGAACAGGCTACCAAGGAGTGTGACTGCTGGGCTTGTCACCACCAGGAGGGCAGCATAGAGTGGCCTGGGAGGAAGGGCAACATTTAAGTACGATCATGGTGAAAGCCAAGAACTGAATGGATGAGGGTTCGCTCTGATGAGGGGTAAAGGTTCTGGTAGAGAAGAAGTTGGTCAACACATACCGGGGTCCATGGGGCTTGGTGAGTGCAGCAGCCGGGACCATGGTGGCGGCCAGCAGGAAGCCCAGGGAGAAATTGGTGAGAGCGATGCAACCCAGCTGCAGGGCTAGGTAGATCAGGGCCACCAGCTTCAGTGCCATCCAGCCCCTGTCTGGGACCTGTGAGCTGACCACTCTACAAGGTGAGAAGTTCAAAGGTAATCTGGAAGCCATCTAAGTATCTGGCAGAGGGGGGCACCTCCCTCTGTCCAGCCCAGCTGCTCACCGGTGGGTGTTGTGTGGAAGGGCTAGGCCAGCCACATAAATCGCTAGCAGCGTCAACACGACAGCCTCAGCTTCAGCCACTGGAAAATGCTGAGCAGCTACATGTTGGCCCAGCACAGGTAGGACATAGAGGGCCAGACCCATGGCCTGAGAGATCAGTAGGGGTGCCATAAGCGAGGCCAGGCCCACGCCCTGCAGAGCACATGGGAACTTGGAGTTAGCCAAAAGCATAGGGGAGCCCCCCAAGGACTTGTGGGAACCCTCCAGCTGAGGCCATGTGGTAACAGAAAGCCGTGCTGGGGACTTCAGAAACCCACTGTCACAGCAATGGAGTATAATATTACCTGTGCTGCCAAGGGTGGAGACCCAGGGCCAGGAGCCTTCCCAGCTTCCTCAGGGTTCACTCCTGCCTCATGTAACTGCATCCACAGCTCCAGGGCATGGGCCAAGTCAAGGACCCCAACAAGACATTGGATGGGATTTGCTAGATGGGAGATCACGGGCTTACTTCCCCACCCCCATAGCAGGATGAAGGACTATCCCCAGCTCATAGTTAGAGGGACTGGAGGCTGGCCGCAAGTGAGCAGAGAGAACGAGGGTAGAGGATATCTTGAGTCCAAGGACCAGGAGCAGGAAGCCGGCGGCAGGCATGTAGAGGCCGATGGAGACGAAGCGGGAGAGGGCTGGCAGCAGGTAGAAGAAGAACGACTGGTGCAGGCGCTCCAAGAGGTGGTTGAGTTTGCGGAACATGCCCTCCAGAGCCCTGCGGAGCACAGCCTGGTCAGGATCAGCCATCCTCACCCCAGCTAGACTCTGCTTCAACATGGAGAGGGGTCCAGAGACTTACTTGCCCACTGCCACCAAATCATACTTGTATTGACGGAAGCTATTGATGCCACGTAGGGTCAGGGCCTCCACACGGTACCGCAGGAAAAGGCCATGGGGGCCGTGGGGCCGGCCAGAGGCCTGCCGCAGAACCATCAGTAGCAGGGTCTGCAGACCCTGCAATGGTCCTTCGAGTGATGTCCAGTCCTGGGGCTGCAGCTTTGGAGGCATGGGCACAGGATCAGAGTCACCCCTTACCACAGGCCCCATGCTCCCCAGCAGGTGGTCCTACCTTGCCCTGGAGTGTACATAACAGCCCCCCTTTCTGGCAGAAGGTCTGGAAGAGGTTGAGCAGGTCAAGGTTGGGCAGCTGACCATTGAGTCCCTCCACAGTCACATCGAGGCTGGTGACCACATCACTGCTTAGTTCCAGGGCCACAGCAGCCTGAATGGCTCCAGCCCTTCCCTGCAGGGGAGACGACTGTATGCCTGTAGGAGCAAGCAATGAGCACTAGAGGGGGCACTAGTGAGGATAGCTGACATGGAGAGAGACCAGAGCCAGACTAGAGCAACCCTTACCTGTAACATTAATGTCATGGTAGGCTTCAAGCCAAGCCTCCGTGCCCAGAAGATCATGCTCTGTTACCAGGAAGATTATGTCTTTGGCCCAGTAGATCTGCCCTAGAGTCCAAAGGCAGGGTCAGCAGGGCCCGGGACATTGGTCAAACCCTCCCTGGCCAGAGAGCCCCAGGGTCTCACCTCGGAAATGGGCAGCAAGTGCCAACAGCAGCCCCACAGCCTGGCTATTTGTGGAGTCTGGACCACAGGGCACAGTAAGTACCAGGGACTCGGTACTGGCAGCACGTGGGGCCCGCAGGATGCCATACACATTGGTACCCGACACCATCTGCATAAAGTGTGCGTGGGAACGGCTCAGTAGACCCTACACGGAACAGGCTGAAGCCTGCCTTCTTTCCTGGCACCACAATGCTCACCACCAGAGGTTTTCAGACCCTCCCTCCCACTGAGTTTCTTGGTTGCAGGGCACTTCAACAAGACACCCGGCCCAGCCACCCTTCCTTCTAAAGTGCTTTTCTCCCGAGCACACCCCTTTCCCTCAATACATAGCGCTCGTGGGTCTCATCCGGAAAGGGCAGTTTGCGGTAGAAGCTCTGAGTGTAGACCTCCAGCCCTACGGATCGCATCGATCGCTCCAGCCAGGCCACTGGCAGAGACCTGGAGACACAAAGATAGCCTCTGAGCAGAGATCCCTGGTCTCGGCTGCCCCTGAAGTCCCCAGCCCTCTACTAGGCACTCACCCCGACTTCTTACGGTGGGCAGCGAAATCCCGGGCAAAGTTCCGGGCGCGGTCTCCACCTACAAACTGCTCCTCTACCATGGTGGAGCCCATGGCGTTCTCCGACATGTAAGTGCGCTGGGTTAGCGGCGGGAAAGCCAGCGCCAAAAACCAGGCGATGCCAGCCACGTAGCTCAGCACGCTGAGAGAGAGCACAGAGGGGCGCCGGAATTAGCCCGACCTGGGACGCCCGCTCGTGGCTCCCATCACTTTCCCAGGGGGTCGACGGCATGGCCCGAGCCATTAAGATCCAGAGCCGCTGTAGCAGGGATGGATCGGGACCAGAGTTCAGAGCTCAGGGTCTGAGTGATGCCTGCATAGAGCGGCTGGCCCCTGGAGTAGCCGCGAGCGGACCCTCAACAGCTCAGGTTCCCGCGAGTCCCGCCCCCTGGCCCGCCCTCACCAGAGCGGAGTGTTGAGGCGCAAGACAAAGCGGGCGAGCGCGCGCCGGCGCACCGGGTCCGACAGGAGACCCATGGCGGGGCGGGGGCTCCGCTCAGGCCGCCACCGGAGACCTCCGAGCGCGCACGGCTCCCTTCAGACCCGGCGCCCAGTGCAGCCCTACTTCCGGTCCCAGGATCCATCACGCCATTACGCAGGGTAGTGGGAGAAACCGCTGGGAACCACGTTTGCGCATGCTCAAACTGCAGAAGGCCGGACAGCTACAGGATGTGGTCACGGCACAGGGCGGAACTGGAACCTGGGGCTGTGGACCAGCTGGTGAGCAGCCTCTGGAAGGGCAGGACCCTGGCGGAGCTGAAGATATAGCAGCAATAGTGTGCTATCTCAGGAGTCTGAGAAGACGCTGTGTAACGCAGGTGGGTGGAGAACTTGAGCGATGGAAAGATAACTCAAATGTGGATGACTGTGTTCTATGACAGAAGGGCCCCACGTGAACTGTCAGGCTTCGAACCAGTCCTATGGTTTGCTGGGCAATGGTGGCACACGTCTTCAATCCCAGCACTCGGGAAGCAGAGGTAGGGGGATCTCTGTGAGTTCGAGGCCAGCCTGGTCTACAGAGCGAGTTCCAGGATAGGCTCCAAAACTACAGAGAAGCCATCTGGGGTGGGGGGGTGGGGGGAGGACGACGACAGTGGGTTCACCTAAGTGGTGGATCCAGAATCAAGGTCATTAAGGTCAAATAAGGGCACTGGAAAGATGGTATACTACCACTGGCCACAGAGAAGGGAGTAAACTGGAAAGCATATCGTTTCTGTCCAACCACGAGGCACCGGCATGGTGGATCAGTGGTCAGAGGATGGAGGGGTGAATGAAGGCAGTTTATCTAGAAGGGTGCAGAGGTAAGGGTCACAGCTAGGGACAGATGCCAAAGAGGCAGAAAGGGCTTGTTAACCTTTCAGAGTCCAAGGTAAGTGGCAGAAAAGGCCCAAGGAGATTCCTGAGAAAAGGAGACATCAGGCCAGTGGTTCTCAGCCTTCCTAATGCTTCAACCCTTTAATACAGTTCCTCATGTTACGATGACCCCCAACCATAAAATTATTTCGTTGCTACTTCATCACCATAATTTTACTAGTTATGATCTGTAATGTAGATATCTGATATCTGACCACCAAAGGGGTTGAAACCGACATGTCAAAAACTGCTGCATTAGTCTAGCCTTCCGTCTCTATGGTAGGCAACCACGGCCAGTCACGTTCCACCTCAGCCTGGTGCTCAGGTCCCAGATGGGTTGTGTGAACATACACATCCCTTAGCGTGAGGGCTTGGGCACTCTTGCTCGTCCTAGCACAGGTGCTCTCTCCACTTAGGAACAGCACTTCACACTCTGCTCTGCGGGGCTCTGAGCTGTTCTGAAGGGCTGTACAGTAAGGTGCGTTCAGCAGAAGAACAGGCTTTTATTCTGGATGGGGTTGTTGGCACTCAGTCCCCCAGTAAGATAGAGGCCTCCTGCACATGCTGCCGGACTACACGATCCAGCAGAGTGTGCACGTCTCGGGCTGCCTGGGCAGCAGCCTCCAGCACTTGTTCCAAGTGGTCTTCATGTAGCCTCGAATCCATCTCAAGTAGTGCAATCTGGCCCGAGGCTGGCAGCAGGGCCAGGGCTAGCTGGGGCCCTCCAGCTGCTTCCTCCACGTGGCTGAGGTCCGCTAGGGCTGTGCCATCAACAAAGCCAGCTGAACAGGCACATACAAAGTCCCGCATGGGTATCCCAGCATCCATCACTGCTAGCGTAGCTGCATTCACGCATGCTGCATAGGTTCCACCATCTGCTTGCAACACCTGCAGGGGCATCAGGACCTTAGATCCACATCTCAACCCACCTCATATCTCTGAGCCCCACCCCTTGTGCGGGGGGTGGGGGGTGGGGGGGGAGGTGGGGGGGGAGGCTGCAGGTAACTCACCTGCACATAGATGTCAATCTGAGAGCGTGGGTGCAGCTGTGTGAGGATGGCTGCCTCGAAGGTCTGGCGTAATTGCAGCCCCATCTCACAAGACTTCCGGTCCCCATGGGGCCTTCGCTTGCGCTCACCTGTGCTGAAGGTTGCTGAACTATACTGACAGTTCACTAGGGCCCGGTCAGGCAAGGCTCGAGACCGGGAGCCTCGGATCTAGAGGAGAAAAGAACGTATGAGCCAGGCCTACCTCCTGGGTCACACTCAATCCATTCTGAATGACTCAACCTTCCTGCTTCTCTTCCTCTCGTGTGCTTCAGAAAGCAGCTGCTACTCTTGCTTCCACATCCTAGCTGGAGGGAGGACTTTCAGTCTAAGCCATATATCGCTTTTGGCAAGCAACTCTTTGTTCGACAGTTGCTTCATTTCGTCCCAAATTATTCCTATTATGGCCACCGCATTTACAAACATCTGATCCGTGTCACCTACCAACTAACATTTTACTTACCTTCCAGAGGTTCACCATTACATGTAAAAAAAAAACCTCTCAGTGTCCCTGGGTCCTCACCCCTTTGGTAACCTCTCAACTTTATTTGATCTGTTGCCCCCCTCCCTACCAATCGTCGGCCCTGATGTGTTATATGCCTGACCGTCATCCTGGCTCCCGCCTAGAATGAACTCTCAAATGCTAATCAAACTGTATGATGTGCGTGTTTTGCTAGTCCGATAGAGAACTGAGACAGCAATAAAGGCAGACAATTTCATCGAAAGTCCCTGTCTTGGGAGTTTATGTTCCAGTAGAGAAACAAGCAACGTCGATGACTCAGTAAAGCTGATGTAATTAGTAAATGCAGAAAAGCAAGGAAGAGTGTTGGTGGGGGCCTGGGAGTTTTCTTCCCGCCAAGACGTCAGACTAGTAATTGAGCTGAGAGAAGAGGGAGTGAGTGGAGCTTCTCCAGGCCGGCTGAGGCACCTTGGAGATGATGAGGACCCATTGCGGGGAGGAGTTAAACCGTAAGGTTTAGTTCTACTCCCGCGACGTGCAGCCCCGAGCCCCGCGCCCGGCCGCTTACTCGCCTCGTGAGGTCCGTAGACTACCGCCAACGCCTTGGTATTGCCCTGTTCGATGTAAGCCGAGCCGTCAGCCTGCGCAAACACACCCATACGCGCTTGGATCTTGCGCAGCTCCCCGGCGCGCCGACCGTCTATCCGGTAACCCTGATCGGAGAGCAGCTCCAGCCCGGCCATGTTGTACGCTCCTCCCTCCGCCTCCGAGAGCTCAACGCTAGCGACTCGGGCCTCTAGTACCTGCGGCTTCCGGCGGTCCGTTCTTATTTCGGGCTCGGTGAACAACTTCCGTTGAACTCCTCCCCTTCCGGTTCGATACAGCTACGGATCGCGGCAGCGTCGGCTTCCTAGACGTCCGGTTAGGTCGTTCTGGGCCTGGAAACCGAAGGCCTGAGCCGAGCCGTTTTTTCAGCTCTTCTGGGGTCGGCGAAGGGGGAAGGCCCTGAAGACGGGCTTCTCTTTGGACATCTTTGGTTTGTTGGAGGCTCTCATTCCAGCGGAGACAGTTTTTGGCCTTTTTTTAATTGCATATCTTTATTTTTATTCTATGGATGTTTTACTTGTATTTATGTCTGTTCTCCATTTATGCGCCTCGTCCCGTGGAGGTCAGAAGAAGGCATCAGGTTCCCTAGAACAGGAGTTACAGGCAGTTGTGAGCCACTTTATGAGTGCTGGGAATTGAGCCTGGGTCCTTAGCATTTTTGCCTTTTCAACCGTGTAGTTTTTTTGTTTTTTTTTTTTTTACAGTGGTTAGTTTAAGCACTTTTTTGTGGTTGTTTGTGCTTTTTGTTTGTTTGCTTCTTTTTCGAGACAAAATTTCTCTCCTGGCTGCCCTGAAACTCACTCTGTAGACCAGGCTGCCTTCAAATTTATAGAGATCTGCCTGCCTCTGCCTTCCGAGTCTGGGATTAAAGGTGTGAGCCACGACCTCCTAGCCAAGCATAATTTTTTGTTATACACGTCATTATTTTCTTTGTGGAGCCGTTTTTAGTTTTCAGGTTTTTTTTTTCATTTGCTTGATTAAATCCATAACTTCCCCTCCCTTACCGTGGCTAGCAAGTTTTCTCCACCTCAAGACTACAAGCACAAAACGCCCGCAATTGAATGTGCAGCTGTATAGCAGCTTCAGCTTCTGGAGTTCTAATTATTTTTTAAGATAGGATCGTCTAGTATTCACTTTCTTTGGAGTGTTTTTACTCACAAAATAAGAAACTCAAATAGTCCTGAGATTTTGTTGTTGCTTTTTGGAATGTTGATATGAATCTCAGTTTTTGTTGTTGTTATAATTGTTGCTTTTTTGAGCTTTTATGTATTTCGGTTGGCCTTGAACTGATAAGTCCTCCGACCAGAGCCTTCCTAGTGCTGTGATTATAGTTCCTGCCACAACATCCAGCTTGGAGTTAATGTTTTTGTTGTCTGCTTCATACCCATGGGGTAGGTAGAGCAGATTATATTCCTACCACGTCCTCTTGTACTGCCTGATGTGTCCCAGGGGCTTATAATTAAGGGGCGCTGTTCCTAGTGAGGGGCTCATGAGTCTGGATTCTAAGTATGTTATCTTTTCTCACCCAGAGTAAATAATTTTGTGGTGGTTGTTTGTGGTGTGTATGTGTGTTTTAAGATGATGTCTTGTTGTACTCCCAACTGGCTTAGAACCCAGAGATCCTGCTGCCTCTGTGTACTTAGTGCTCCCCCACACCTGGCAATTAAAGAAACATTCTTAGTTATTCATGTTCATGCTTGCACGTAGAGGTGAGAAGAGAACTTTGTGGAATCAATGTTTTTCTTTCACCTTTATATGGGTTCTGAAGATTGAACTTAGGTTGTCAGACTTGATGAGAGTGTCTTTATCCAATGACTTATCTCCGTGTGCAGTATGACAGGGGCCTGAAGGGAAAGAATATTCAGTTCCCAAGGGTTAGAGTTAGAACATCACACCAGCCAGGTGTGGTGGCAAAAGCCTGTAGTCCCAGCACTTGGGAGGCGAAAGCAGGCAGGTTTTTGTGAGTTTTGAGGCCAGCCTGGTTTACAGAGTGGGTTCTAGGACAGCCAGGGCTACACAGAAAAACCTGTCTCAAATAAACTAAAAATGAGCAGGACCCATATGGTGGAGAGAGAACTACTACTTACAGAGGCTGGCATCTAATGACCTCATGCCCACACTGTGGCAGGCACATGCACTGCTCCTCCCCCAGATAATAAAATGTAAAAACCAAGTCTAGCAATAACTCATGTCTTACGTTTGGGAACAGGAGGGAAAGAACTCTTGAGAGTTGCAGGGCTGTAGCAGGTTTTTATCTACTCTGTCCCTAGAGAGACTGCAGGGGGCATGGCCCAATTTCTGGGAACTAGAGCAGGTAGGGATCTCTGACCTAGCAGTCTTGTTATTCTTGCATTTCTCGCTCTGTATGTTCCAATCTCTCATGTCAGTCCAGTCCATAGAAAGGATGCTGTGTCTACAGGAAGGAAAGAGAGAGCCTCTCCCCCGCCCACATCCAGCATTCTCCTCATGGTATCTGTTTCAGAATGGTCATGATCATTAGCAAGGAGCTCACCCTTTTCACCTGCAGCTCCCCATCATACAGGCCCCGTTAGTGCATAAAGAAATGCATGCCACTACCCAACCTTAAAAATTAAAACAGTGAGCTGAGTATATATAGGAGTGTGAAGAGAGGATGGATGGGTCCCAAAGATGAACTTTCCAAGACACACAAAACCAGTGTGGGGACTTGGATCCCACACCTCAATGAGAGACTGTCAACATTTTTCTACAAAGCAGCAGGTAAACTGGATCTTCTGTGTCGGGCTGGAGAAATAGTCTAAGGGACCCTAATATTAACAGTTCAACACCCCCATCACAATGATTGTGCTTTCGTGATGGCTGGGCACCAGTTATAGGAGTCAGTCCCTGCTGATGCAGCTTGGCAGGAGCCATCTTCAGTCTTGATCCTCAGCAGCTGGACTAAGCCACTTCCTTGTCCAGTAGCCCAGGTCTTCCTACCTGGGTGGCCCCAGCACCTGCTGTCCCTGTTGGGTTGGGGTTGTTTTTCTTGTGTCCTGCCGGTCCTTACCACAGATGACTATACTGAATTGCCTCAGCAAGTCCAAAGGCCTTCCCCCCTGGGTGGTGCCAGCCTCAGCAACTTGGAACAGCCAGAATGATGCTGGTGTTCAGCCTAAGGAGTCCAGAGGAGGCTGGTGGCTGCTGCTGCTTCCAGAGTCCTCACCATGTCTCCCAGTAAGAGTGTCCTTCCACCCCTTAGGAACAAGGACCTCAACGTGGCTTCATCAGGTTCAGCGTCTGAGGCCACTCCCCTACCCCCCTCTAGCTTTTACCCCATACTCTACCTGTAGAACACACATCTGGATAGATCGAGGATTCGGGGACCTTATCAAGTTTCTTGTTGCTATAATCTAATGCCTGACAAAAAGCAGATTTGGGAGGAGGCTTTACTTTGACTCAGTTTGAGAGGATGATGTCCATCATGGCAGGAAGGCATGGAGTTCATGTGGCAGGAGCAGGTGGCCAAAGAGCAGAGAAACACAATTGCCAGTACTCATCTGGCTTCTTCCTTTTTTCTCTTTCTGTTTGGGGCCCCAGCCCATGGGAAAGGGGTACCCCATTTCAGGGTGAGTCTTCCCTTTTCAGTAATCCTCTCTGGAAATGCTCATCAGAAACACCACCAAAAGTGTGCCTCTGCTGATTATACTTTGATTTATAAAAGATTTTTATATTTTTATTTCTCCATCTCTGTGGTGTGTGTGTGTGTGTGTGTGTGTGTGTGTGTGTGTGTGTGTGTGTGTGTATGAATGAATATGCATTCCCTGGTGTCTTGAGAGTGCCCACAAAGGCCAGAAGAGGATATTGGGTCCCCTGGAGCTGGAGTTACGGACAATTGTGGCCACCAAGCATGGGTGCTGGAAACTGAACTCTGGTCGTCGGCAAGAGCAGCCAGTACTTTTAACTCTCATCTCTCTAGGCCCCGGTCTAGGTTATTTTAATCTAACCAAGTTGAGTATCAAAATTAACCATCATGGGTCCTAACACTTATACAAATTTGAGGGCTGTGTTAAGGATGCAGTTTGCTGGGAGGTCTCAGAACTCAGGAGATAACTGTACTCCTCCTGGCTGAGGGCACTTAGATTGAAATCACAGCCAGCAAAGGGGAGAAGTTCACGGAGTCTTAAAGAATCTAGGTGCGAGCTTCCAGCGTCCTCTCGGGTGGACTCATGCTGACACTTCATTCCCCCAACAAGTTGGGGCATCACGTGTTGAGATGCTTTCTGCCAGGGAGGTCCACGGAGACACAACTGGGGTTTTAGTGCACAGCTGCACAGGCACGCTCTGCTGGCAGGCACCCAGATTCCCGACTCCCAGACAGAAAGCTGCTGTTCCGCAGGAGCTGTACAAACAGTTGAGTCACAGCAAGCCACTCTTACCAGGAAGTGGTGGGCATCTCACCAAAACTGCGTGCCCAGACACCAGCAGCCTTGAACATCCTGATGAGTTTTCTCAGGCCTGCTGTGTGGACTTTTTTTTTTTTTTAAACCAGACCCTGTGAGATTAGGGAGAGTTGAGAGTTGTAGATTTAGAATTAAGGAAAATAAAATCCAACATGCAGTAAAAAACTTAAGCTGACTGGGGCTGGCGAGATGGCTCAGCAGTTAAGAGCACTTGCTGCTCTTGCAGAGGACCTGGGTTCAGTTCCCAGCACTCACATGGCAGCTCACAACTGTCTGTGACTCCAGTTCCAGGTGCTCTAACACTCTCAGACAGACATACATGCAGACAGAACACCAATGCACATAAAATAAAAACCCAATGCTAAGTGCCTAATGTACCACATTCCCCTACCCTTTTTAAATGTATGAGCTGACAGCCTCTGAAGACAATTCTTTTATGATGTCACCTTCTACACAGAGAAAGTAACTTAATTTCCCTTCTAAAACATTTGATCGTTATCTGTTGGTGTTTGAGACAGGGTTTCATGTAGCCCGTGGTGGCCTCAAACTTGCTGATAGCTGAGGTGACCCTAATATTTATTCTTTCTTTTTGGTATAGTTTCATACGTTTATACAATGGATTATGATCATACATCCCCAATATACAACAAACATGAATAATGGAAAAAAGGAAAAAAATAAAATTAAACATTCTAACACAATCCAAACCAAAGACAGACTAATTTTTCCTTTCATGCTGAGGGATGATGATAGCCAAACACTAAAATTCTTTTTTTTTTTTTTTTTTTTTTTTTTTTTTTTTTTTTTTTTTTTTTTTTTTTTTTTTTTTTTTTTTTTTTGTTTTTCGAGACAGGGTTTCTCTGTGGTTTTGGAGCCTGTCCTGGAACTAGCTCTTGTAGACCAGGCTGGTCTCGAACTCACAGAGATCCGCCTGCCTCTGCCTCCCAAGTGCTGGGATTAAAGGCGCCACCACCGCCCGGCAAACACTAATATTCTTATCTTCTGTAACTAAGTATTATACTTTACAAAATGTTTCTGAGTCAAAGTGAAACACTGCACTTCATAATATACTCAAATCTAAGCTGATGCATCTCAGGCAGCTTTGTTGTCAAGGTGTGATATGTACATGGTGTGTGTGTGTGTGTGTGTGTGTGTAGAAACAGGACTACAGTGAAATCAGACATGACCCACAGTTTAAAAAGCTGAGGTTTGGGGCTCACTGGTAAAGAATACTTGCTGCTCTTTCAGAAGACCTGGGTTTGAACCCCAGAACCCACATGGTGGCTCTCAACCATCCTTACCTCCAGTTCTAGGGGATCCGACACCCTCTTCTGACCTCCCTGGGCACTAGGCGTGCACGTGGTGCATAGTCATACGTTTATATGCATAAATAAATGAATCCTTAAAAAATTAAAGAAAAACAAAGCTGAAGGCTGTATACGTTGGTTGTGTCCAGGTAGAAGCTCTTACAGGTAAAATATTCTGTGTTTAGGACTTTGTTAAATTGGAAGAAACCTGGTAACAGATTTCTTTCACACATTGTACATACCAGCCAAGTGATTTAAAGGCGTCCTGGGTTTTCTTGTCTGTGACTAATCCTCCATTCTTCTTGAATTACCAGTACCCATTAGCCAGTCTCATCAGCCCCTCATGTTATAACTTGCGCCAGAAGAAGGAAGCTGTGTTCCTAGATGCTGTTTCCCCATCAGAGCAAGCAGAGCAGCAGTTTATCAAGAAGCGACTGGTCTCATTGAGTCCAAACTAAGTGCACCCCAATATAACCTCATGAAGCAGGATCCCATGATCTGCAGATGGTTCCTTGAAGAAGGAGCAGAAGTTCAAGGTCATCACTGGCTACTTAACGAATTCAAATCCAACCTGGGATATTTGAAATATTGCCCTCAAATTTTCTTTTCTCCAGACAGGGTCTCACTGTATAACTCTAACTCCATAAGGAGACTAAAGTTGGCTTATAATTCACAGCGATATGCCTGCTTCTGCCTTCCTCACAAGAGTCGGGAGTGAAGGCCTGTGCCCTCATCCCCAGCCAGGAACTGGCTTTGTAGACTAGACTGGCTTTGAAATCACAGAGATCCACCCATATCT